TGAAGCAGAGTCAGTGCTTGAAAACTATAAGGTTATTTCAAATACTACCACTTGTAGTCTAAATTAATCTAAATCAAGTTATACTTAATGTATATTCAGATTCTATTTAATTGATGTCTTCTCCACTGGGTAAAGGTCTTGCAAGACCTTGAATATTTTCTACCACCTTGTGGAGAGACAAATCATGTCACTTTCTGTCAATTTTGGAAGCAAATAAATTGGTAGTAAACTGTTGGATAATTTCACAAGAGTTGAACAGCAATTATAATCAGACCTATTTGCAAAAAACTCTACTCTTGTGCTTTTTAAAAAGTGTGGTTTGAAATCTGCAACTTCACAGAATCCTGTCATGAAGCTGTTAGGTTTTTTGAAAATACTATTATTGTTGTAATGAAAACTACCGAATTTTATGTCATGGTATGCTTGACTCTGGAACAAGAATGTGCTCAAAAAAGCCTGTATGATTGGGGGACTTCCTATGCATGGAGACGTGAGAGGAGGGGATTTTTAATCTACTTTTTTTCTAAACTGATAGAAAAGAATAGTGCAGTGTGTCTTCTACTTAAAGGCTGAGATGTGGTCCTATCAGCTTTGTGAGAGATGAGACTATGGACCATCTGTCAGGGCAGAGATTTCTTTAATACGTCATGTATGAGCTATGGAGAAATAATACCCAAGTGGTTATTTTATCGATCACTCTGATGCCCAACCTGTCTCTGGGCTGAGATCCCCTGCCTTCAGACTTTTCCTTGCTGTAGATAGTGCTAACATGAAGATTGAGCTTGTGTTTCTCAGTTTATAACAGGTATGGCACTGAATTTATTAGATAGCTGACTACTCTGCAGCTGCTGGAATATACTCACGAAACTCAAGCAACACAAAGGAACACGTTATTCAATAACATATTTCAGAATTCTCCTGCAAGCTGTTCCCACGTCAGAAATTCAACAACTAAACCTGTCACTGACACCACTAAGACCAAGGTCTAGACTGGCCGTGGGTATTTTTGCCATGAAGTTCACCTATTCATCATTACTGTTTTTCATTAATGACAGCCTGATGATTGTTTCCAGAATTCCAGTTCCATATGCACAGCTGTCAGATGTGAACTCTGTCAACAGCATGTCAGAATGGCACAGGCAGGAAACCAGAAGTAGACAGGCCCAGCCATACTTCAGTACCAAGCCATCAGAGAGGTCAGAGTGGGCCTTTTCAGTTTTATTCAATAACATATTTCAGAATTCTCCTGCAAGCTGTTCCCACGTCAGAAATTCAACAACTAAACCTGTCACTGACACCACTAAGACCAAGGTCTAGACTGGCCGTGGGTATTTTTGCCATGAAGTTCACCTATTCATCATTACTGTTTTTCATTAATGACAGCCTGATGATTGTTTCCAGAATTCCAGTTCCATATGCACAGCTGTCAGATGTGAACTCTGTCAACAGCATGTCAGAATGGCACAGGCAGGAAACCAGAAGTAGACAGGCCCAGCCATACTTCAGTACCAAGCCATCAGAGATGTCAGAGTGGGCCTTTTCAATTACACATACAAAGATTTACGTCACATCAGGACTTTTCAGACAGGCTTTAGACACAGTTGTGCCTCTTGCTTCAGCTTTTCTTTTGGGTATTTTCCTATGCAATGATGACTGCAAATAAATTGTTCTTTTTGTTAGAGCATATGATTCAAATGTGTCATTCCGTAGGGTGTACATCTCTAGCTGGAAAGGTGCCAATTTTACAGTCAGTCTTTTACAACATATTTGAGCATCCAAATAGTATGAAGTGCTTAGAAGTAGTCTTTTGTGAAAAATTTTTGTGATTTATAGGGCAAAACCCATGAAAACATTAGAAAAAAAATCAAAACGTGGGGATATAAAAATGGGAAACAAATTCCAACATTGCTAGAAAAGTAAGAGATAGCTGCAAGGACTCATTTTTTCTAAAATCACTCTAGACATATTTAAGGAGTCTCACATTCAGCATCATCAAACTTCCAGCACCCACAGAAGATGTAATAACTTAAGATGTACTGGTGACCTGTATGACATCATGACATACTGCCCCTCCTTCCCATCCAGTTGATTCATTCCAAAATAGTAATCAGAATTGATTACCACACCCCCACCAAGCTCTAATGTAGGACCAACTACTTGATATAACAGAGAGGTAAATAAATACTGGTTGTGTCTTCCAAAACAATTCCCTTTCCTGTCATGCTTCCCAACAGATTGTTTCATTATGAAAATTTAATCATTGTGTAAAACTTTAAGATTCTTATATTTCCACAGAAAAAATTAAGGCTGTAGTTTCTTGCCTAAATCCTTCTTTCTCCTATATATATTTCATTGCATTGGTATTGTAGTACAGGTAATTAGAATCCCACTGAATTTTTGTAATAAATTAAAGTACTTCCTACAGCATACAGGGACATTTTAGCGCAAGAGATTTGTTTGGCAAAACAGGGTAGAGGTGGTCAATAGCTTTGACATCATTAGTCCTAAATTGTCATCAGCACTTGGACAATTGGGCTGCTTTCACCAGTTCCTTGTTTATGGTCTAACAGCTCTGGTGCTTTGAAGCAGTTGGTGACCGTATGACACAGTAACCTCCAGAGAGGCCTGGAACTGTCACTTGTAACACAGTGACATGGTTTTTTCTGTTAAGATGTGCAACTTTATAGTTAATGGAAAGCTTCTAGAAAGGGGGAGTTATGCATACATTATCCACAAATTACAACTTGGGCTGTTCTGTCTGGACACTTGGGAAGAATGCACTTTTACATCTCTCTGCCTTTCTTTGCATCCAGGAGTAAAACCATCATATGTGAATAATCCACAGATAGCACAAACGCCAGCTGATGAAAGTCCAAAAGAGTCCTTATTTCATTAAATAGTGAAACTTAAACACAATGGACAATTGCACTTTTTTTCTTTTTGAAGTTCAGATGTGAAAGGGAAACTGCAAGATGCAAACTAGCTTTTTTTTTTAGAACCATGTATCTGAGACTGAACTATTGAAATTAGTGTATGATAAACTTCCTGCAGAACCCGACTTCTTGCTGCATTCTGTCCCAAGTACATCTCTACAAGGCAACTCCCTAACATGACACGGCCACGGTCAGATAGTTTCCACCTCTTCTCTGTGTTTTAGGTTCATTGAATATTCCTTTCTACCTCTTTGAAGTAAATGTTCAAAAGCTATGCACCGAGTCTAGAGGGCAGGGACTTACCTTGGATAAAGGTGCAGAGCACTCCTCAGCTATTAATTGTGTCTGAGTATGCCTGAGTGCTGCTCTGTACAATACAAAGTGGTGGAAATTGCCCAAAGTGGAATCCATTTTCATAGGTAATAACACTGCGTAGGTTACAGGAACTGCGTAACAGGAGACAGTCAACTATGTGCTGGGGAATGAAATAATCCTAGTGTATAAAAACATGTATAGTTTTGTGATTAGCACTGTTTTCAACTAGCTGTGTTAATTATCCTGACCACTTCATATATTTATCATTTCAAATTTAAGAATAATTATTGGGTTTAATTTCTATTCTCTACAACGTTTGATACTTACTGTGTGGTTCTTCAGCTTACTTCTTTAAAAACTGAATGTCTTGGCAGTGGTCTCATATATTCAGGTGATTCAACATCGCAGTAGTTAACCCTATATAAAAAGAGGCTGTGTGTATATGAATGAATCTCTTTGGCATCCATATAAACAACTGTCGCGTAACGCTAGCCCCTTGCAGACCTTGCTGGGCAGAGTACAAAGATGAGGGATGTGTGTAGCCGTGAGGAACCGTAGAGCCTTGATGCAGCCATCCATGTATTTTAGGCTGTTGACTGCGTACATGGAAAGTCTGATTTTCAGAGGATGTTCACGAAATAACACTAAAGTTGTCATGAACGTAGTTTCAGACTCGGATGCAAACCTGTTGGCATCTTATACAGAGGGAGATAAGAGGGACCCATTGGCAGCCCAGGGGAACTTGCTTTATGCCTTTGTAATGACACAAATAAGCTCTGCATCATCTAGCATGGCATATCATTCATCGAGGGAAGTGTTGGAAGTGATCTGTGACTGCCTTTTGTCAAGCAAAAATGTGTGATCCTGATTTCTTCTTCCTATGCTTATTAGCAATGAAAGCTGTACATTGACCCTTATTAATCCTGATGGCATGGTACTAACCTATCTTGCAGTATTGTAATGGCATTATATCTGCTATTCTGCTGTGCATTCCCACTGTCTTTGTGCAGGATTTTAGGAAGATGGCATTGAGGTATTGTTGACATACCTGCATATCTGGAAACACCAGTATTTTTCTTAGTGCAGCTCCTGCTTCAACTCACCATATTCATATGGTGAAACTACTGTAGCTTGATGAACAGACACAAGCAGGGAACAGATATAAGAGGGGAAAGGTGACATAAAAAACGTCATTAAGAGCAGTTACTTTTGACTTTCTTAAGAAAAGAAAACAAAAACTACTGCAGCATTATTGTGATGGTGAATTATTAAGATAATACATTATCTTCATTTATTACAGCCTAAAAGTACTTCAGTGGAAGCAGCAAAATCCAAACAACTTCAAATGAAAATCAAAGTGTTATTGCAAATCATGAGACTGTGAAGGGAAAAAATAACTACAGAGGCAATAAACTCTGTTATTGTTTGTGCTGTAAGAGCTTTCTCTAATTTCTTGGGCTAACAAACAATCCCATCTAATTACAGAAACATTTTTCTTGATTAGGCTTGGCTAGTCCTTGTTTGCATCTTACTGTGTTTCACGAACAGATGAACTAAGAGTTCTTGATTGTGTGACAGTCTTGGACAACTGTTGCTACAAATTTGCATTTAAAAAAAAATATCTGAATGCAGTTCAGTAACCTCTGTTTGTACCTTTCCAGGGTATCAAATATCCCACTGCACCCCTTTGGGGAAAGCCCTGCATAGAGTGGTGTTTCCCATGCAGCGGTCTCATTCCTCTCATACCTTCACCAGCAGCCACTAGTGGGTCCTCAAAGCCTGAAGCGTTGCTTTGCTGCGCTGGGTGACCCGAGTAGGGATGGCTGCTGTCAGTTCTCCAAAGAAAATCAGTCCAAACCAAGAGGGGCCCTCTGCTTTACCGCTGCGGGGTTTTCTTCCCATCTCTAAAAATTTCCCCTTAAAAAACAAACAAACAAAAAACAAACTGAAAAAACCCACAAAAACCAAACCAAAAAAACAACAACAAAAAAATCTATTGAAACCTGCAAGTCAAACTATTGGAATATGCCAGTTTTAACAACTAGTATGTCAATGACTCTTTTGTTTTCCTTTAAAAGTCTAACAAAAAGCGTCTCCTCTTTAACTGAAAATTACTCAGAGGAAAAGTCTCAAAACAAGCTTTAGATTAACACGGAAGGAATTAGAGCTTCATTACATTAAAACTTATTTTTTCTCACACATAGAATATCTAGTTTAACAGTTGCTGAGACCTGAACTGTATTAGAGTGTTAACTTAAATATTATATTCTCCACAGTAACATGATAGTTGAACTGGACAGGAAAAATACACTATTAAAGGAATCTTCTATAACTTACCTTGATTTTAGTCTCATCTAGATGAGTTTTGCCATTAATTACACCCAAAAGTCTACAATTCAATTATACAGAATACTCAAAAAATGGTCTGTTTCATTCAAAAACTTTTTTTTTCCTTCTTGCCAGGAATTGGAAACCTGCTTTAAGTCTGATGGTGGTTTAAAGAGTAAGAATTTTTCAGTTGATCAATGACGTTATATTGTATAGAAAGACAACAGTTTTGCTAAAGCTAGCACTGTTTCAGTGGAACTCATTAGAAACTTTCTAGCTAAAAGTATTTTTTCTTTGGGAAACTCAATGTATCTGAGTGAACCTAATCAGTTATGTTGTACTTTGGTAATAACAGACTGCTCAGGCCCAGCATATGCTCAATGACCGAGAACAGAGGAAGAAATTTGGGATTTCAGCTTTGCCACCTGAATGAGGTGAAGTTGAGTCATTGAACATTGGCTCATAGTGAGACTACAAATCACAAGGATCTCTAAAGCAGATCCTATCAGTGCTGAGCAATGCATGCCTGTCAGTAGGGTGTCACATCACCATGAAAATAACAGTAGCTAACAGGAAACAGTAATTATTCTTTCCTAAATAAATTTCTTTTTTCAAATTCAATAAAATCCATGTATATCCCCTTCAGAAAGTGTTGTAATAAAATTTTCTGTACTGTAAATAAAAACAAAAACATAACACATCAAAATACCATTTTCTGGTTTCAGAGAACACATTCCTCTCAAAAAAAAAAGAAAACAGGCAAGAGTGCTGAAGAAGCATTCCATACAGCAGGTGAACAGTTCACTTGCAAATCGCAATTGCAGTGATAATAGTGAGATATGATTACAGACAAAGGCAGTAAGAGTCATTTAATGGCATTTCAGTTTTCTAGCTATGTTTATCAGGATTATCTTGAGTTAAATTAATCCAGCATTTATTAATAACTTTTCCCCTTTTTTCTAATTTAAAAGAAAATACATCTTATGCAAATACCTAGACTATTTTTTAAGATGCGTGGCAGTCTAGGCTCTATGCTTTATCACAGTGACACCTAAAAACACTTTTAAATGAAGCTTCTATCAGTGTATTTAATTCTAAATTCCATTTTTAAGTCAAAGTGATTCATTTATTTTTCCTCTACTGCCCTTTCTGAACTGTGATGAAGTATGTCAAGTATCCCATGACCATGGGAACTTGTGCAGCACAGAAAATAGCATGCCTGCACCTGAAAGGACAAATTAATGCCAAAATTATAAATTGCTTCCCAAGCATGAAGATAACACGGATAGCAGCTCTGGATGAAACAAACTCTGATCTTGCTCATGTTCCTCATGGTGCCTGCCATGGTAAGAGCAATCACCTAATTGAAAAAGCACAGCGTTAATAGCTAGGTTATTTGACCTCAATTTTCAGTTCAGCTAACAACTTTTAGTATGGGTTACGGCAAGTAGCTGTGTGTCAGTTTTCCCAGGATAAAAATGGGTATTCCCCCTCGCACTGGAAATACTGTGAAGACAGTACATTTGAATTCTGAGTCAAGATGACAGATAACATTTTGCGTTCAACTTAGAAATGTAGCTGTCAGTAAAGGATGGTTAAAAATCTCTTGTGCTACTGCAGCGTGCCATTTGCAGCATACTGCTCTTCTGCTAGCACAAAATTTGATATTTGTCAATAAGTTTTATTCAGTGTAAGTACGTGTACCTGATACTACATTTGTATGCATATATGGACACATATGCAGTGTTTATTTTAATTTTTATAGACTGTATTTTTACATGGGCAGGTTATGTACATATATGATTTTTTAGTTCAAGTCTAATAGTTTCTCTACAGCTAGATGAAACTACGTCTTGTTACATGATCATAGTGTCAGTTCAGCAGTCAGTCTAAGCAATAGTAGTACTTACATAGTAAACGGTGTACTGAGGGGAAGTGCTTTAGTGTGCAGGTGCCTCTGAACTCTGTTGAGAAATAAATAATCATCAGTACTTGACTTTGCCATAGCCTTCCCTGAAGAGACACAACAACTCATTTAAATGGTTTATCCCAGTACCATGTTTAAACTTCCTAGACCAGCTTCCAAAACTTCCCACACAGTCAGTGGGAAGACATTAATACAAAAAAAGCTTAAAACACACACACAAAATTGAGAAACACACCAAAAAAACCCCACAACAAGCACAATATAAGATGTCTGCTTAGGAGCAGCTGGATTCCTTTTAATGTCGCTACACAGTTTCCCTGAGGAAGCACTCACCCTCCATGCAGCATTTCAGGAGCCTTCATTTCCAAGTTAGGTATTTTCCAGATACCACTAAGATTATCTTTCCCATTTAATACAATGTCTTTTCAATGATGTGATCATTTCTGTAGTTTCCTGTTTGTAACAAGCAAGTAATGGTATGGTTTAGTGATGGTGATGCTTCTTGTTTGTTGTGCGGATGTCTGTTTTTGTCAGTTAGGTTGACGGTTGGACAAGATGATCTTTGAGGTCCCTTTCAACCTAGAAGATTCTGTGATTCAGTGATATTTACTGCAAAGGAGGATTTTGAGGCTAAGTACCATGGTGTACAGAAAATTATGACGCTTTGAAGCCAACATGAATGTCCAGCTCAGAGGGAAATTTTTCTCCCTTCCTCTCTTACTAGTCAATAAGAGGCACCTGTAAGTACTTACAAACAGGTGAGATATCTAAAGTATAACAAGATAATGATCAGAAGTAGGAATCACCTGGCAAGCTAGTCCAAACTGCTGGTTTGGTTATTTCGAGGTACATAATTTTCCAGTGAGTAAGAGCTGAGAGGCATTCTCCATGCCTGTGAGTGGGGCAGGACAGAACCCATCAGGATGCGTATTTCAGGTAATGTTCTATGGCAGCGGCTGCTTTTAGAAGGGAAAATGTGCTAGTATGCAGAAAGAATTAATAAGATAAAGCCTGAATAAATAGGATCAATGTCAAATTTGTTCCCTGTGTTATAACCATGCATTGTAGGCAAGAAGCTGATGGTCTGTCTGGTGGTCAGAAATGAAGTTCTGGCAAAGGATTAAGAGCTCTGTTTAAAACAGGCTGAGATGCAGCTCAAAAGTAGGTGCATGTGATTAGATTATCAAACAGGCAAAATAGAAGAAAATCAGTCTAGAGCAGAGAAAGCAGCTAATAAGGATAATTAAATTTAAAAATGAAAATGGTTGCAGACAAAGCAGAGAGGAGAATGGGAACGAAAGACAGAGTCTTCTGGAAGCCCATAGGGAAATATGGAGACATAATGAACAATGAAAAAGAGAAAAAGGAAAAGGGGGGGGTGGTTGGAGAGAGAAGAAAGATAATCACAGAAAGACAAAAAAAAAACTTAAAAAAAGAGACAATGAAGATACTGAAGACATCTTCCAGGTTGTGACAAGATACTGAGTCAGCCTGTGTCCTGAAGAGGAGCTGTCAGCAACAGTTTTAAACTGGGAAAACAGAAAGGTTTTACATCTCCATGCAATTATACCTTAGGATACTAGTTGCAATAGAGTAGAGAACTCTACATTGAGAATGCAGATTTGCCATATGAAAAATAACGCAATCTGAGTCAAATTCCTTCTCCCTGTTGGATTGTATTTCCTGAAAATAGACAAGAAATTCTTCTTAATATTAAAAGACTCGGTGATATACTAAATTAAATTAAAGGAATCCTCTTGATTCCGTGGTTTGGACATTGAGCAGAGGGGTTTTTCCACATTTGGCTCAGAATGCAAAAATCTTAAAATGTAAATGCCTTGGTGAAAACCTCGAAATTGCTGTGGGAGCCTTTTTAATTATTTTTTTTTTCAACTAATAATTCACAAAAAAATAAGCAGGTTTCAGTTAGTTCCTTGCTTTACCTCGTTGTGGGGTGGATTTTTTAATGTTCTCAGAGTTTCCTCTGTGGACTAGCTATGGACAATTTACTTTTCCTGATGTCATTAATTATGAGTAACTCAGTTTATAAAATATACGTAGAAGCCATCAGCAATCTGTCATTTTGAATCTGTAGCAAAGTCCCTCATGCTCCTTGAAGAATATGGGTCCAAATTAATCCTCAGTAATTTTATGGTGTATACTTCACTGAGGTTTGATGCACTAGACAACAGGACTTACTTAGGCCCAGTCACTTTTTATGAGGTTTCTGTACAACATTCAGTAACTTCACTGAAGGCAATGATGCAACACCAAAACTGTGGTGTCTAGGAGAGAAAAACAAAATCAGGCAATTGAATGTAAATCTCACTGAAAAACATGTTAGTGGATCCCTCCTCTTTCCCAAATGCCCATCTTTTGCTGGCACTGAAATACTCAACAGATGTTCGTCGTACAGCTCCTTGTGAATCAGGATCGTGATGTCACTTCTTTCCTTTGGAAACATTTGTTCCAATTTTACACATCTGAGAGTAGCGTAAGTTGACAGTAGTGATATCACACAGGAGTTGAGCATTGTAAGCCAAGAGCTAAACAGGTCAGTGAACTTCAGATCCTGCTGGGAAGAGCGTGGCGGGTATCAATGGAGATGGTATTACTGCCTCGTAACCTTGGCAAATTAGCCTCTGGATTTTGAATAGGGCAGCGCCTCTATTAGTACAACAGGGACTTACACCCTTCAGATTTTTTCCTTAACTTTTTATATGGCTCTTCTTAAGATCAAAATGCACACCGAGAAGTGTATTGTAACAAGAATGAACAGACTATGTATCAACTTACTGCTCTTATTTCTAGACTTGAACAGAAAAGAAAATGGTTCTTGAGGCCGTGGGGATTTGAGTCGGGTGGAATGCTAGTGTCGAGAGCAAGTAAAATATTTTGTTCCCTCAGCCATTTGAAGGAAAACCTAAAGAAAGTGCCTGCAGGCTAAAACATCTTCTTTTCCTCAGTTTCCAACAAGGGAAAAATGGGAAATAGCAGGTAGCCAAGAGTAAGTTAGAATATAAATAGTCCACCAAGCTCTTACTTTAATTACAGATGTATATTCTACATGAAAGCTATAGCAAAACCACACAGCACAGAGACTCAGAAACGATACAGATGGGCTTTGTCATTATCTGTACCATGGCTGGATCCTACCATGTCTACTACAAAGACGCTTTTACAGTATTTTCTTTCAAATTACACTTATCCACCTCTGCCATAATCTGAGAGTTTCCAGGCTCTTAACTGGCTAAAAGTGCATTATTTTTTTCTTATGGACTACTGTTGAGCACTTCCTAAATACAGCAGGCTTTAAATATTATGTATAAAGTTATTACATAGTATAATAGTCTTGTTTCTAAAAGTGCTTTCTCTTTTTTGAGAACTTAAATGAGCTTCTTAAGCAGGTGTAAAGTTTGGATGTTAATCTTACAATTTCATGTTGGCAAAGCAGGTTAGATCTCAGAATAGCAAGCAAAACTAATACTTCAATAACATAGAAAGCAGTTAGCGCAGACGTGAACATTTTTCATAATAAACCTTGTGGATTTTAAGGCAAAAAATAATTTTTTATTCCTTCATCTCCCAAGCAACTTGAACCATGCAGCTAAAAATTACTCATTTATCTCAACTATTCCCAAAGTTTAATTATTTTGGTGCTTTTGGTCATTTTCTTGAGGCTTTTGGTCTGAATCTGACTTCTGTCTCCGAGTTTAAAATTCCACCTCAACGTGGTTATATAAATGCCTTTTTTTTGTTTGCATTTACAATATCTAAAACATCATTGTCTCTTTTCACTTTTGTGCTACTGGTCTTATGTAAGTACACAAGTTCATTTACAAGTTAAAGATGATTATAATATGTATTAAACTGATAGATCTCTTACTGCATTTCACTGCTGCTTCAGCTGTACAGCTGCAGTTGTTAAGGGGATCATGTAATCAGGGATGAGATCTCTGAAAAGGAAGAGAGACAGTAATTCATTAGAGTAGATGATTTTAATGTAAAGACCCCAAACACTGATGATTTTTTAAAAGCAAAGCAGCATAGCAATACCAAACTACTATAAAAATCCACAGTACTTTTGAGTAGTCTCTTTTTACATTTATTTTTGGTGAAGATTCCTGGTCCCATTTCATTCTTCTCTTTCATTTTCTTCTGAATGAAGCTGGTACTTCACTTGTTTTTAGTCCACCTGCTAACTGTTGCTTTTGCACAATTTCTTTCTGAATATTTTCAATATATCTGTCTTGAACAAATCTTTGAAATGAAAATGTTTATTTTATCCCAGGATAGAAACTTTTCTCTGTTGGATGCTTTCATTTGACCTACCGTCCCCTGAAGTTCTAACACATTTTGACAATTGTTCTAATTCCTATCTCAAAAAAAAAATAGATATTATTTCACTGTGATTGACAGTGGAAACTCTGCAGTTCATTTCAGAGCTGCAGGTAATTAGTCAGTCAGTGTGCTTCAGTTAGATGGCAGAATTTAGTACTATTTCGTGAGCTACCCAGTCGTAAGGGCATGACAACAATGTGTCATTTGCCAAGGACTGCAAAATGAAAGCTTTCCATTTAGAATGGTATAAGAAAAAACTTCTACAATAAGCTCTGTTTTTAATACTGGATCACCTCTGAAACTGCTATCAAACTGTGCTTTGACCACATCAGGGGAGCATTTGATTAACTACCAACAAGAAAGAATCCAGTGAACAATGAGACATCAAAGACGACAGCTTTCTGACAGCATTTATTGAGCAGTGATTAATGAATGACATAAATGAAGAATGTATAACCTCCAGTATATTTAAGAGAGCTAATCAAGTATCATGAGGTGAAGTTCAAAAGAGTCATTAACTGGTAAAAATAAAGAGAAGCAACTAAAAAATATGATTAAAATTTCACATTTCCTCTGGTTTAAAAAAAATCAATTGTATAGGGTGACAACTAATATTCATATTGCAACTTTCTGTTGTAAAAAGAAAGATCTTAGTTTAATTTGGGGGAAAGATTGATGTTGATTTCAATAAGCATTGCAGTAACACTTAAAATACTGTCTATGCCTTAATAAAAAAGTCCTTATTTACTGTCTTTTTTTTTTTGTAGCTAGTCACTGTTGAATTTTCAATGGGAAAACTGAAGAGTTCAAGGAAGAGCAGAAATACTAGAAACATCAGTGACCTGTAATAAAGGAAGAGGTAATTGAATATTATTACCACTTAATCAGGTTTTTTTGTGCCCTTGGTTTATGTCACCTGTAACTAATGACCCATATGTGTCCGTAGCATATTTCACTGCAATCAGATGGAACGTTCAGACCACTGCTAATCCTCTAGTTGGATGATACGTCTCTCACGCACTGCAAAATCCCATTTGTACTAGTGTCAAAGTGTGATGTTGTGGTCAGAAGCTCAAAACTGAGAAAAGTAAAACTTTGGCCAGTTTGTGCTGCTTTCCTCCTGGCAGCTGCTTGATGCTGGCTCTCCCCTTCCAGCATGTGTTCCTCACCACTCTACAAGGTGCTCTGCTATAAATGAACACGTGCTCCCTGCATGGCTCCTTCCTTCCGTATTTCATACTGCATAAACTGCCTCCAGCTGAAGGGAGCCAGGTCCAGTGTTGGAGACCCTTACATGCAGACAGGAACCTAGTGGAATTCACAGTTCTGAATTAGGTACATAAGCTTCTTTTTCCATGGAGGAAGAGCTGGAAACACACTGGGATCGAAGCCAGCATGTTAAATGGTAGGCTGAGGATTCTGCATAAACAATAGCATGTGCTGGGCACCAAGGTTTGTCTCAGTCTTAACCAATTTCTTAAAACTGAACAAGGCACCCATCCACCATTGGAATGAGGCACAAACAGTACTTTTCTCACAAAAGGGGGCCACCAGGAGCCCTCTGCTCCCTTTTGCAATAGCACAAAAATGAGGACAGTCGTTGGGATTAGAAGCGATCAGATTCAGCTCCCTCCTCTGCCTACAGGGATTGTTAAATCTCTCAGAAGAGTCCTAATTAGTGTGCTATGAAGTATTCTGTGGAAGAATGCTCTTGGTCGCTCCTGATGTTATTGCACTTGGCATTAAATAATTAAATCTTTCCTGGAGAAAAGATGCAAGGGAGAGGCGGGGGACAGAAGGGGGAGGGCGAGTGAGTGCACCAACATGACTTTTAAGCATAATGTCTGAGAAATTCAGACTTATATTCTCATTCCTATAAATACACCAACATTTCACGCTACATAGTCACTGAAGGACAAAACAGGCACTTACCCATCCCAAGTAGCTCCCGATCTAGTAGACATGTCAAATTTTCTTTTAATTAAATGTTAAGAGATTTTTGGGAGATTCACAGAAAATCTGTTTTTGTGGATGCTGGTAGCACATCTTTCCTGCAGGGAGGGTCAGACACTGTCACCGAGCAGAAAGGCATTGGTGTCCCTGAGAAGGTGGATGTGGAGATAAATCCTTTCAGCTAGGATGCTGAAGAGTCCAAGGCATCTAGGTGGGAGAGATTTACATACATGATCTTGATGCTTCTGAAGTGAAAGTTTAGCGTGTGATAAGGCAGACATGTGGCTGAAGTATTTAATTTGATTAGAAAGCTGTAAGACAGAGGCTTGTGTGAGTGCTCCTGAGTGTTGTTTTTCTGACTTGGGACATGAAAACAGATGGAAAAGAGCTGCTCTATTCTATGTCAATCATGTTTGTGACTGAATGCCCTATATAGTTCTACTGATACAGCTACTTAAAACCGTAAAATTGTATTGTTCGGGGGGTGGGAGGGTGGTGTGTTCTGTTGTGAATCAGATTTTCTTTCTGACTTCAGTGCTGGGTAGTAATATTTTTTTGTGCATCCTTCTACATATAAAACACACTAGAAAGATGTGCTTGGGATATGACATCTTTGGTGACAATTGTTTAATTCTATCTGTTGTCTGCGTAGGTAGTAGCCTAAGCATATATAGTTTTCAGAAACTGCATATTGAGGCAGTGATGAACACATTCAGTAATTGAATAAATGTTATTTCTGGGCTTTTTGTAATGCTTTAATAATACAAAGTGATATCTGAAGTTAATATTTTTCTGTGTGCGATGTAAGATGTAACATAGTAATAAGAAGTTATCTTGTATTACTCCAAGACGGTAAGCTTTCTGCATTTATCAAAAGATCTTTACTCGAGAATTCTAGCATTGCCTTAGTCAGGCTAAAAGCAACATTTCACTGCTTTTAAACCCAGGAAAAGGCAGTTATAATTAGTAATGTTAACTGAAGGCTTTCAAAGACTGTTACAATCTGAGAAGCCTTCAAGGGTTAGGAAGGGCAAGGTCAGACTTCCCAGTGTTATGATCCTATTAGTACAGAGCACTTAAGCTAATCTGTGCTGTGTTAAGACTAAGTTAACACCAGTGCTCAGAAATGGTGTTGGAAGTTCAATAGGCAGCACTTTAGAGTTGATGTAACCTTGGAGCTTCTGCACGGCACAGAAATCCTCCCTGGCACTGACTGATACACTTGTCTTATTAAGTGCTCTGGCTGCAGGTGCACCATCATTGTTTTGAAGAGAACTTGCTGTACAGCAGCTTTAATAATGCTGTTTGTGGCTAAATAGTCAAAATACCAAATATGCTCTCTCCTTCTGGCCCGGCTGTGTCTGGAAATCTAAGTCCATGCATCTTGCTGGACTCATATATACAGATTTATATTTGAACACAATAATGTTCTCAATTTGGTGGTACAGTCTTCAGTCCCGCATTATCCCAAAGGAGGATTCATTTCAGTGATGAAGGAAATTATCTCTGTATATAGTTTTTTCTGATATTCCTGTGACTCAAAGGGACATTGTAAGTGCAAAATAGAAAATTAATATTTTGATCTAAAGTGACAAATACCAAGGAAAGTTATTGAACTCATATTCATCTGAATCCTGGCAAAACCTCTGGTGTCTTATGGCATATTCTCTGTCTTCAGCCATGTTGCAGAAACTAGATGGCACTGCAAAGATTTACATTTTGCAGTGTCTTTATCTGTGATGCTGCATGAAATTCAACTGTAGTTAGATTATGAAGGCACACTCTTCCACGCTCACAGGGAATAGAAGAATACAAAGCTTCTGAACTTGAATGAGTTTAAATCCTTCCAGTCTCAATACTGCAACATCCCTTTACTTTTAGAAGTTCGTATTGTGGTAAAGAGGTTATCTTTAACTGAAATTAGCATTTGTTACTCAGTGTGGTCATTGTGGAATTTACTGTCTTTGGGTTTTACTAGCTGTATCTCTCTTTCATGTCAAGATGCACGTAGAGATACGAATGAGCAGCCTCATTGCTGCCTGCTTGTCAGACCGGGGTCACCACCCTTCTGCCTGTGTTAAAGGCGTGCTCTTTGACTCCGATATTTCTCCAGGCCCTCACATACGTTACAGGTTTGTTCTGTGCAGGCTGTCTAAGGAAACGCCCGTCACAGCAAACGGCTGCCTCATCTCAACACTTTGAGACTCTCAATAGCTTTTCAATATCCGCCCGTCTTGAGAACTGCCATGTGCAGTTTCTCAGATATCTCTGGGAAGCTGGTCTTCCGTATTTCCTAATGCCTGTAGCAACTCCGTCCTGGCATTGCTTTAGTGTTGCCTCCTGGCTCTGAGGTGAGCAAGAAACTGCATCTCATGCTCATCAGAATTGTGCTTTCCTGTCTACCTCTTTCTAATTATTCATTGGCCTTTTTTAATTGAACTGCAGGATGTTTACATCAATGATCATTCCTATTCCATCATACTTTGACTATGATAGAAAAATAAAAAAAACTATGGAAAAACAGCTTGTAAGTGAATTTTGAAAACAAAGTGATAACAAAAATATTTCTTGCTGTTTACCCCATCTTAAATAAAAAAGTACCAATTAAACCATGAAATTTGCTTAATAAGCTAGTCACATATGTAAAGTTCAGTTATGCTGATGTTTGTTAATAATCAGGAGATTATTAGAATACAGCAGATTTTAAACACAATGTCAGTGACTCACTGAGCCATAAAATGGAGTATGTCAAGCCCTGGGCATGCTCTCTGCTTCCGCTGCTCTCCTGTCTAGTGTGCATGAATCCAAACCCTGGACTCTTGGGCCAGTGGGTTGCTGAGTGGGAGCAGGATGTTAGGTAAAAATCTGCAATTTATACTCGTCCATAGCCTGGCTGCTCAGGCCTCTTGGCTCTATTCATTTTTTTGATTCTGCAGTAATCCAAGTACCTTTTTTTTTTTCCTCCAGGATCTCCAATCTTACTGCACTAGTTTTTCTTCTGGATTTCAAGAGTATATTACTCTTTCACAGATTTTTCTTCTATTACTTCACTTGTTCTACTGCTGCTTATTTCCGTAGAGAATTAACCTCAGCTAAGAAATTTCCCTAGAAGTGCCAGGGGCTTGAGAAAAGTCTATCTCTTTGCTCCCCTAAATTGGATGGCACAATCTATGTCTATAAAGCCACCACGTGAGAGAAAAATTAAGCTTGATATTGCATAAAAAACCGTATCAGTTTGTCTTCATTTTATCTTTTATCCTGCATTAGTAGTTTCATGGCATCTTTCAAGAAGGACCATTTATCTCAGCAAAAGTGACAGGTGTTTGCTAGAGAAGTAATGATACACAACTCACTTTTCCTCTCCTAAAACCACTTCTTTTCCACTGAAAGTTCAAGGTTCTGCTTTTTCTACTTGTGTAAGCGTAAGGAGTTACACCAGCAGAAATCTCCCTGCCTATTGCAGGGGGGTTGGAACCAGGTGATCTTTAGGTCCCTTCCAACTTAAAACCATTTTCTGATTCTATGACCTATGCTTGCATAATACAGGGTCTTCTGCCAACACAGCCTGTGGCCATGGTCATATCAAAGCACGGGATTTCTGGTTTTGACAAAAGCAGCACATTCCTCATTACGTTGCTGGCACTTTTGCAACAGTTTCCTCTGTTACCAGTATAGGACATTCTTTTCAAGTTTTGTTCTGCTGCTTCACCTGGTGCTGACATATACACGTGTCTATTCAAATCTCATTCCTACCAATCTTCTTACTTCTATTACAAGTCTTTCCAAGGACACTTGGGCAATATCCTGAACTGAGCAAATTAAATTGCATTAATATATGAGCATTGTTAAATGCATTATATACCAGCCCTGAGATACCACCAGTTTTATAGAACTTGCCCTCCAGAATACAGTAACAACAACCTGCTAAATATGTAACTCTCCCTACCCAGATTGTTGCCTACAGCAGGTATGCTTGTCTTTTCCTTCTGCAGTTGCCATTTTCCATCTAAACACTGAACTCTCAGCTGCATTCTTCTTTTGTCATAATTTTATGCTGAAAACATGGAGACTTCTGGAGAACAGTTACTCAAATAGTAGTAAAAGGCAATGCATGAGTCCTGCCTTCTGCATGGCTATTTCATTTACCTATGACATTCTCAAGCTTGCTGGAGTATCTTTAAGAAAGTAAGCTAACTTAATTGCAAAGTCAATGTTAAATGAATTTATAAGTCATGCACACTTTGCACAAGTATCTTCTTCCATGAACTTTAATTGTCATCTTAACTCAGCTTTCTCCTAAAGGGCTTTGAGAGTGATAATCTGATTCTCTCATCTAGTTTCACAAGTTACAGAGAAACAGAGATGATTAACTACTGGCCTGGAGCACAGAATCCTTCAAATGCATAATAGTATTTTAGGAGTCTTAAAATATAGTAAGCTCAGTGCTTTCTTTTTAAAAATACATTCAAGGTGTATACCTGAAAAATATGCTGCATAATGAAAAGAGATATGAAGTGACAGTATTGAGAATAACTTATAAGGATGACTTTTGCCCTTCAACTCCTGCTCTATACTGAGCATTTCTTTCACATATTACTTTCCAAGTAGATTCTGGTACCAATAAATAATGTGTCTTTGAAATGGCTAGAAGTAAAGAAAGTTCTGCGCCTAGGAATGAAGAACACTTTTTTACAGAATCCTTTCCACCCTCCAGACTTATTCTGGAAGCAATCTTCAACTACAGTGAATAACCCACTCAAATTCGAATGGGCAATCAGTCGTAAGCTTGTCTGAATGCCCAAGGGGGCTGATACGCTCCTTAGTTATATGAAGGAGAGAGTATTAAATAGAAAAATTCAAGAAGCTTTTCATTTAATGTGACTGTGATAGTAACAGCAGTAAAGTATCTTAGTCTGCTGCTGTATACTTGATAAGGTACACGTGCAAAGTCCAGAAATTTGTGTGACACACTTAAGTGTGTTTTCTGTCACCTGCCTCAGTGACCTCGCAGCCTGGGAAGGTACAGGAACTTGGGGTAAGCTCAGAGCCCAAGAGAAGCAGATTTGAACATTTCCTGGGAAGATCCTAAGAACATGAGCATTGGTGGCTCTGCACACTTGGTGCAGAGCAACTGAGAAGTGGCAAAGAGAAGGTCTATATAAGGAGGAGTTTTCCTGTCAAACGAAATTCTGTTCCAGAGGTGCTTCCCCATTTCAGAGCAACCCATTGCTGTAGCGACACCCTTAAAACTCAGTAAAGCCACTGTATGGCTAAAAAGGCTTACGAATTCAGTCTGAGCATTAGCTCTAGTAGAGAAAAAGCTGGATCTTGTACAGCGTATGTCATGGTTTAGGCCAGCTTGGCCAATGGCAAGATGACAGATGCTTTACCCCAGCTCTTCCTCAAAGGAGGAGAAAAAGAGAGATAAAGAGATCTATGAGCTTAGAAAAAACTAATCTACTGTAATGAAATAATAAAACAAAAAAAACCCAGAAATAGATACAGTATATATAAAAATATACAAAACCATGTCAAGCTTCCAGGAAGACATACCAGCATGCACTGGGAAAGTTCCAGACTGGTCTCAGTGATGAATGAGAACTGAATTCCAGAACTCACTGATGGGGATCAAAGCAGAGAAACTCACAGGACCCTCCTCACTGAAGAAGAGCCCTTGAAGAGGAACCCACCTAATGCCCTTTGACCCCTCAGCTCTTATACTGAGCATAGAAGATGGGATGGAACACCCTATTGGTCAGTTTGGGTCACCTGACCTGTCCACATCTCCCCACAGGTGTGACCCATCAGCTGACCCTGGCTCCCAAACCAACAAGGATAAGCAAGAGCCTCTCTCACTGAACAGAAAGCCGGCTTTGCTCCGCGACAGACCAGGATAGCCAAGATGCTGAACAAGCCACCACTGGAAGAATTTTATTTAAAATTTTGGTAGATTCTCTATCAGCAACTTAAAAACCAAAAAGGTAAGATTTTAGTTTTCTTTGAAATGCCCTAGTGAAGTGGGAATTAATTCAAGACAGTATGTTGGTTTGAGTGGAGCAGGAGGCTCTTAGACATCATAATCATCGTTCTCTCTGCATTTAAGAACTTTGAACCTTGACTCTTACGCATTCTTGAATGTGTTGCCCTTCCCTGTCAGCTGCCGTACAGCTGTCAGTAGGAGTACAAGTTGAAAGGGACTAAATTGTCTTGTGGCCAGAGCTGTGTGCTAGGAGAATAACGAAAAGGGAGCTTGTATTTTATCACATGAAGGAAGTCCTCTGTTTCTGGCCTCCTGGACAATAAACTGAAATAGTACCCCATTAATTGTTGTATTGAGAAAGATTTCCTTTCCTGGAGTTCTAATGTAGTTCTAGTAACAGTTGGGGTGGTTGTACAGGTTTCCTCTTCTTTTGTGATAAGGAATGTGTTTCTTTGATATTGGTGGAGGGACATGATTCTCTTAAGTTTCTGCGGGTCAGCTTTACATTTTTATTTTGACATTCAAATTATAATGTCATTTATGTGCCAGAATTATTCTTACCAATGCCAAAACCTGCCTACAAACTCAGTATCTATTTTCAGATATGCATATTTGAGATGCTATGCTGTTAACACTATTGAAGTTCATGTTGCTTTAAAAAAAAGTCTACTGTACTTGTATCTATCTCTCTTACAGCCTTTTCTTGGTAGTAGAGAATACTATAAATGATAGCTGAAACTGGTAATTAGACAAGACTTCCCTTTTTTGTCCTGCTTTTCTTGCTGTAATGCGTTTTGTCTGTTTACTGGCTTGAGGTCCTTCCCCCCTGTGAGACTTATCTTTTTAATGGCAGTCATTTTTAACACGCACAATTTTTCTGTAAGCATGACATTCACTATCTCTATAATAACAATCATTTGGCTTATGATTTAAACCATTACAGCAGTGTACCATGCTGTGAGACTCAAATGCTGGCTTCGCTTTTACATTTGTTTACTTTCCTATCAGCATGTTGACAGTTCATAACTCTTGGCTACTTCCACATTGACTGCAATTTCTGTCTAGCTCTAGTGGAAATAAAGACAACTGCTTTTTTTGGATTACTTGCCGAAGTATGTGGTAAAGGCTTGGTAAACTCCTAGGAAGGTACTGAACTAGGTAATCATTCTAACATGGCATGAATTTGCTAGTGAAGCATGAAATAGGTGTAGCCTCATTTTTTTAAAACATAACAGGGGTTGGAACTCTATGATCTTTAAGGTCCCTTCCAACCTGAACCATTCTATGATTCTGTATCTGAAGTGTAATAGACACAGATCAACAAAAACCGTTTAACAACATAAATATGAGATGGGATATATATTAACTACTAAACTAATGTGCTGACTTCTGCCCGACCCTTTTTTTTTTTCCTTGCTCCACCCCTCCTCTCTCCCCCCATGAAGAATATTGCTCCATTTAAGGGCTGCTTCTTTACTTGCACATTTGGCCATGATGCTCTTTGAGAGTGAAGAAAACAGAAGGGTCTGTTTTAGAGGAGATGGTTTTATTTGGATCAGTGGAATTTATTTTGATTATCTAATGGGTCTATGGAGACCTCTTCTCCCTGCAGACATCTTACCGATTTGCCCACTCTTCAGTTTTCCAACTACATCTCTGTAGCCAGCCCAGCCAGGAGGAGCATGAGAGTGCATCGCTATGAAAACTCATCTTAGTGCAAATGAACTCTGGAAACTTAGCACAAAGAACTCTTCAATATGAGTAAATGACTAGGGGTTTGGTTTCTAAGAGGTTTATACCTTGGATAAATTGAGTGGAGTTTTTTATAGCTGTTTCTCAAGTCATACCTCTGCCATAAGATTCTCAGCCACATTTTGAGTCCTGTCCTATTTCAAAGAAAAGATCTAAAGAATTTTTTACATGGAAAGGAATTATTTTTCAAAGATATCCAACCTGAGGTGTACATACGTTTAACTTGGGCAATGTTTTAAGAGGCAGACAGTTTCTGGTCTGCATATTTTAATCTTAATGAGCATTTCTTTATAAAATACACTCTAGTATTCTGGTCTTCAATACATGCAAGTGTAAGTGTTAGTATAGCTCATTTATATATTTAAGTAAATGATATATTTATACTACATATAGTATAGATCAACAGTAGAATGTGTTATATGAAAAGTTACACTTATTTAATAAAATCTCATTTTCTAGGCTTTAATACTTATGAACTGGGGAGTTTATACTTTCAGATACTATTAATGACTTAGGAGTATGTTATGCCGTACACGGGTACAGTGTTACGCAGTTGCATAGTTATACCACAAGTTTGTCTTGATTATATTTAAGCTTCAGGAATTGTGTGATGGAAATTTCTGAGTGGCTAGAGTTGTAGTGTATTTTTTGCATATGGCAAGTATTGTTCCTAATGAATGGGTGTGTAACCTGTATCTTTTTTGGGTAGGACTGCAGGAGCCAGGGGGTGGATTTCATTTGCGTCTGCTTTTTGCTGTATGATCTCCTGTATACCTTGAGGGTACCATGCCCATTCTTGATTTCTGGAGGTGAAAGTGTTTGTTTTGTTTTGTTTTGTTTTCCCAGTTTCTTAACTTTTTTCTGGAGGTGAAAGTGTTTGTTTGTTTGTTTGTTTGTTTTTTCCCAGTTTCTTAACTTCCTTATTAGTGTTTCAGTGAAGCTGTACGGTATAAAGTAATGACATCTTCTAGAGAATATAAAATTTAAAATTTTGGATCATGCTACTACAGAAATATTTCTGAACTCTGCTTTTCATTTATCTTGCATTCTAGCATCTGAATTCGTAATCTTGTAAAAGTAAGTGGGTAGGAGGAGGGTAGGGGAGAAGCTATTCTTGAAACAGTCTTCTTCCATTTGGAGTTTGCCTTTCGTTTTTGTCTTGAAATTAAAATTGATGGACAGAGAATAATTTGTGTTAATGCAGCTGTTATTCAGTTTGAAAGATGACTAACAGGAAGATAGTGCTCTTAGCTGGGGAACAAAGGGTGACAAACGTTATTCTGCACATCAAGTTTTTCCGACACTGCCTCTGAAGTACACGGTACATTTGCTTAAAAAAAAAAAAAAAAAGGAAAAAAGAGCATTTCAACCAGTACAGTGTCAATATGCTAGAACAGTCTCCTAAACCTCTTGTCATCTGTGATAAGGACATCAATAATAGTCATTGTCAACCTTCATTAAGCTCAGATCTTCCATTTTTATGTCCCTCAGGATGTTTTTCATTGATATTTTCCCTGGAAAGAGAAAAGGACCTACATCAAGCTAGTGCATAAAGCTTGATTCCTTTCCTCAGGGCTCTTATTACAAAAGAAACAAATTATTTTACTTACTCTTTTTCTGTTTGTTTTTTTTTTTTTAATTATTATTGTTGGCTGGTTTTTGGTTGGTTGGTTTTTTTGAGTTCCTCTAGGGTGATTAACCTATTTCTAGATGCACAAGAACCCTTGTTAATCAATGCAATAAAGTCTAAGAAAGGGGGAATGTTCCACTTCCAAACAAATAAAAATGAAGATGTCAAGAAAATTAGATCCATGCTTCTCCTTCTACAGGGATTTGTATCATAGCTGATATTCCTTAGTTTATGCATGTCTAGAGTTAGTTTTTTAGATTTTCCTTAGCTCTTGCAGGTTGAGCCACCACTGACCAGCACCACGTAAGTTCTTCAAGTTTTTTTCAGAAAAGACAACCAGAAAGATAAAATTCCTGACTCTGGATTGAGTTTGAAGCCTTTTCAAGCATGGGAGGAAGGTAGTTTGGAGAAGAGACGTTGATATGTTGAAAACCAAGTGACTTTACTCACTATTTGACTTTTACTGAAGTAAAAGTCACTATTTGACTTTTGCTGAAGAGAAGCAAATTATTTGTAAATCCATTCAACGTTACATTCTTTTCAGTGCTCTCAGCAGTTCTTTCCAATGGGAGGAAAAAATATAGCATGTCAGAGGAGGAGGGCTCACACATTCAATACTGCTACAATTAACAAGCAATTGTATGTATTGTACCGGAAATTTTAGGAGTCCATGACTTGAGTTCTTGCTCCTCTTCAAATTTTTTCCATAATATTTCCATATAATAATATTTTCTCAGACCTTGTTAGAGATTTTGGCTAGAAATAGAGAAATATTCTCACACAAAAAAGAAAAGAAAACTTGTCTCAAAAATACTTGTAAGAGCAAGCAGACTTTCATGAGGCTGCAAAGAATTGAAACCAGGTATTAGGTCCAAAAAACACTTCTCATATTTTATGTTAATGTCTAATTCTTTATCTAAAATTCAGAATATCAAGCCATTTTATGGAGCTGTTTTCTCATCCCTTTCACGTACAAATAAAATCGTACAATTTAACACTCAGCTCTGCAAAGTCACTCCGAGAACAGAAGAGTTCTCATAACTGGCAATTTTATAATCCAGGAAGCATTTAAGCATTTTGGTGCCAGCCCTGCAGACCTCTGTGTATGGAACTGCACAAGTTCTAGCTTGTAAATTATTATTTAGATGTTCTGTAACTTTTACTAAAGATTTGGTGGTGTTACACTGACAGTATTGTCTCTACCTGCCCAAAAGTTGAGCACGTTTAGTAAAAAACAAATTACAGCACAAAATAGGTCTATTACAAAATCCCTTTCACTGAATATAATTTTCTGCTTTCAACTAGATCTACCAAAAAATCATCCTTTTTTCCCTGTAACTGGTCTAGCTAAGTTCAATTGCATGTTCAGTTAACAATCCAGCTGGTAGTAAAGCTTGTTAAAGAACTGAATATACTTCCAGCCTGGTTATAAATAAGTCTACTCACAATTCTCATAATCTGAAATGAGTTTCCAACAAATCTAGACTGACCAATTTCAAATGTGAAAAGCTGTAAAGTCTACATAATCTTCATTATGACTGGGAGGTATCTGAGATGCTGTGATCATATTTTTGATATGGCTAAGAATCTGATGAACAGAAAGACATCCCTGCTCAATG